AGTGCCCACGGGCAGGGGGGCTGGATGGAATGCCCACAGCACCCCGGGGCTGGCTCAGTGGTGCCCAGGGCCTGGACACAGCTCTGCTCATACCCTCTTCGCCAGGCCAGGCGCCCGAATTGCTGCTGGTTTCCAGACGCAGGGGCCTGTCCCCCCTCACCCTGCCAGTGTGGCACAGCCAAGGGCAGCACAGCCAAGGGCCTGGCAGGGCCTGTGCAGCTGCTGGCAGCCTCCCAGTGCTGCCATGGCAGCCCTTCAACACTGCCATGGCTGTGTCCCAACACAACACTGCCATGGCAGCCCCCTGAAGCTGCCATGCCCAGCCCAGCCTGCTCAGTTCCCAGTGCCTGCTGCAGCCAGGCAGCTCTGCTCAGTCTCCTCCTGAACTGCCCTGAAGCAGGAGCAGCTGTGCTTGGAGCCCCTCTAACTCCTCTTTGCTTATCAAACCCTCCCAGCTCCCCCCAGCCTACTGCATGACCTCCACACCCCCCCACTTTTCCCATCCCTCCTGAAGCAGGGGCTGAAAACAAGGCATGGGACCCAGGCATGACCCCCCGAGCACAGAGCAGAGAGGAGAAGCTGCTGGCCCTGGGCCAAACACAGCTCAGTTTTGGAAGACTGGTGGGGTTTTTCCTTATTTGCATCGAGAGCACAGTGCCTGTGGCCAGCATCCCCCCTGGACAATGCCCTTTTTGGGCAGGGCTGCTGCTCACCCCATCCATTCCCACAGCCAGGGTCACTGGGCTTCAGGTGCAGACCCTGGAGGTGCTTCTAAGTCTGGTGGCCTGGTCCTCCAGCTGGTCAAGGTTGCTCTTGTCAAGCTTTTGGCACACCAACCCCCCTAGTATGCCTGGCAACCCGAGGTGACACTCTCTAATGCCTCCAGGGGACAGCCTTGGCAGAGGCTCCCCAGCCTCCAGCAGCAGCTCAGCAGAGCAAAATGCCCCCCTGGATGCCCCCAGCATCTGTCTGGTTTTGTAGAAATAAGCTTCCAGTAAAGGCCTGATGATTGCTTACATTTTAGGATTACCAAAGACAGTCCTGTTAAACTCATTTTCTAGGCTTCAAGAATCTAATCACATGCACCTCAATTATTCCTTTGCCTGTTGTGTCACCACTTCAGGATTTTCAAGGAGGTGCAGCATCTACTGCAAGAGTTAAAGTCTGTAAAAATAAATTTGAAAAGATGTGAGAGATTTGCCTTTAAGAACAGACTGGCACAAAATGCTTTGAAACAGGTCACTCAGCTTCTTTCACTACTACAGTGCAGATCTGTGGCTGGAGTAACAGCCAGGTTACAAGTCTTCTCTGACTTCACGTGTGGACTGGAGCTGGTGGGGAGCAACCAAGTGTACCAGTTGTCTGACAACTAGCACGCTGAACTCCACACAGAACTATTCACTTTTTTAGACACATGTGAAATTTGAGAAAAGGAATCATCACTAGACCCAGCTATCAAGTGGACATTCTCATCAAAATTCAGTAGGACTGGTTTTCAGAAGAGAAATGGGACAAGAATGGCCTAAATCCTGGTGATCTGTATCAAGTCCAGACAAACTCTATACTTGCTTTGGTTCTGCAAGCAACCCTGTCACTCACAAGATGCTGCTGCCTCTACAGAGTTGGCCAACCAGCAAACAAGTTTGTTCCTACTGTGAATCTCAGGCTGGCAACTGTCAGCCTGTAGAGGAGCTGGCACAGAGAGCTGAGATTTCTCCATGAAGCTGAGAAAAATCTAGATGTTCTGATAAAGTTCTTTTTATTTACAGTATTCTTCTTTTTGTACATACCTATAGCAACATCAAAAATTATTCACAAAGCTTAAACTGAATGTAAAAATGTTCTCATCCAACAGTTTGTCCTACCAGTATCTGTGGAGAATGTCAACTGTCCTCATGCAGCGACGAGATTGTCTGAGCATCAATTTTTTCTTTTTTTAGTTTTCCTGGTAGAATTTTAGGAAACCACCTCAAAACACGTATAGATACTTACTCACCTTTTTTTCTGAACACCTTGAGGCACTGAAGTTTTATAGATTCAAACTCATGTTGGCTTTTAGAAATGTGAATTGGGGGAGGACGAGAAGAGCTATGTAAGAACTTGAGCTCCTAAATGTACACATCAGGAGTGCAAATTTAGAAGTCAGATGCAGTTGTACAGTTCTGCATTTACAATACCTGCCTCAGAACATTTATCTCAGTTCAAGCAAAAATGTTTGATTGACTTTGATAAGTAACACTTCACTCCTGAGGTACTGATATTTATCAAGTTCTCACATATTTTTACTTTCCCTTTTGTTGAGCCCCCAAAGTCCATCATGAAAAAATCTGCAGAAGGACATTAAAAAACTGCCAGTCACTTACTGCAATGCCTAGGGAAAAAGTGTCAGGTGCTCACTTTTATTCATCTTTCAAGAGTGGAAGAAGTTACATGAAATGTATATATTCTCCTTTGCAACCAAGTGATAACATTATCTGATTACATAGCACATTCAAATTCCAGGCCAAACTCTGGTCACATTTTTCTGACACAAGTAGTTACCCTGGAAAAAAAGTAAGGCTATCACAATTTGACCTTCTGGTTAGAAATAAAAGGTTAAGATAGTTATAAAAATTGGTTAGCAAAGTTACAGACCTCTCATCTTGCTGCAGCCTTCCTGAAGTTCCACGTAACAAAAGGAGGATTTGGTTTAAGACATTGGCTGCAATCTTTAGGGTGGCTGTTAGTGCTGGGTAAATGTAGTGTTTGGAGATTCTGACTCCTAAAACTATGGTCTAAACTGAAATCAAAAAGTAGACACAGGAAGAAAGCAAGAACTCTGACCTGCAGGAAGGAGAGCTCCTTGCTGCCCTCATTTGTTTCTATGCATATCTGACTGTGAAGCCACTGAGGTCTCATATTCCAGCCTATCTTTACACAGTCATTTTCATTTGTACTCCTTTTTTTTCCCCCTCTCCACACTTACAGGCACAATTTCAGGAACTTACAGGCAATCCAGGCTTCTGAAAGCATTAAAATCCCATTGCTTCTTATCCAGGAATCCAAACCCATGCAAGTGTGTACATTTGCATATATCCACCAAATCTATAGCAACATCACTGAGCTAAAACATAAAAACCAAAACCAGCCAGCCCAAACCCTCAATTTTTCTGTATCTTCCCCAACCTAATGCACCCAGCTGATCTTTTGTGGAGATAATCTGTAAGTCACTTAATTCCACTTGGAGGTAAAGGATGCAAAACAAAAGCAATCCCTTAATTACTGCTTGCCAGCTCCTCCTGGTCTCTTGAAAGTGTAACTCCTGCCACATATGGTTTACTCTACTGATATTAGTGATCAGAAAATACTTATCACCAAGTGAAGTAAGCTAATCCTTCAGCAATTATCTGAGCAAGTTCTTGGCTACTAAAGCAATAGCTTATGCCTGCTGATATTGCAGCCACCTGATCCTTCCCAGAAAAGTCAGTCATGCTAACTGTGAAGTATGAGATTTTCTTCTAAAGATGTAAAGAAACCCAAAACAATTCAGTTGACCCGTTCCATGGATTTGAGCATGTCATCAGCACCAGGTGACCTTGTATGGTGGTAAAAAACTCTTGGACCTTGTCAGTACAGAATGCGCTGTTGGGAATTTGGGGTCTGTCTCCCTCTGGTTTTCTCTTTAAAAAGGAAGTATAATGTAAGTTAAGCTGAAGTTCAGAAATGCATATATTTTACTTAAAAACATTCATCTGTTCAAAATTCAAAATAAACTTTATGGGATACAACAGTTTGGTTTTTTTTTTTTTTAAATAACATTTCATTCAAACTGTATATAATTCATTGAAGTATTCGTACAGCAAACAATGGTTAACCCTTGAAAACCTGTAGAAAAAGATTTTCACACAAAAAAAAAAAAAGGAAAAACAAAATTGAGGTATCACACCCACACACATTCACCTGAGCACACACACACTCGAGCACACCCACACCTATCCACACACGCAGGCTGCAGCAAAAGCAGAAAATTGTAGGCCCAAAAGGAAAATGATGACTGATTGTTCTATCTGAAAGTCCAGGTAGCTCAGGAAAAAAAAAAAAAACAAAACAACAAAACATAAAAACCAAAACAACAAACCAAAACAACCCCCCAGGAGTCCTCTGAGTAAAGAAACTACCTCAAGAAAATTCTCAAGTGCACTGGAGACCTGATCATTTAAACTGTTTCTGCAAAGCAGCTCCCTGCACCTGAGAAGAATGCAGCCCAAGGTGACTTGTGCAAATATAAGGAGTCAGGAACATCTCCTGCTATTCCTTAAGTAGACATGAGGGGTGTCCATAGATTCAATCAGTCTTTGATCATGCAAGATACTGCTGGAGTGCTGTCTTCGCCCTGCAATAAAGGAACAACCTGTTAATTATTGTGGCATGCTAGAAGCACATGAGTCTTGTCAGGAGTACTGGCCCTACCAAAAACAGAAGATGAGGTGAGAGGAAGAAAAGCAACAGCCATTCTAACTACTGCAACTTATGTAATCTAACATTGTGCAATGTTTTTGTTAAGAAGAAAAACCACCTCCCAAAAGTCTAGGGTTATAGTTTCATCATCACTTCAGCTATGTCAGGCTTTCCTAGCACCTGAAGGGAGAAGCTTGGCTCTTGCTTTGTTCCCTAACACCTCCCAACTATGTCATCATGACCCTGACAGACCTTTCCAAGATTCAACACGACTCCTTCAGTTGATGAAAGAAATATCTGGGTTGTTACTGCAGGTGAGATAACTGCAAAAAGTCTACATAAAAAACACACAGAAGCTGTCATTAGCAATTTTGGCTTTGTGTGTTTGTGAAGGAGCTAGATGATCTGTGCAGATACTATGAGTAACAGAACAGGTATGTGAAAAGCAACTGTTGAGCTCAATTAGTTTGAAAGCATTTACTTGAGATTAAAACCAGTGGTGATCCTCTATTAACTGTTTAATTCATAGTGTAATGTGATGGGTTACCATTGTTCTAACCCTCTGGAACTTTGTTAGGTGTCCATGGTTTACACAAACATTTGTGTATTAGTGAGATTTCAGAGAGGACCCTGCACTAGTTTAGAAGACCTTAAACACAGTTATTTTATCCTATGGAGAACTTCAGCAAAATATGTTACTCCTGAGCAACCCAAAACCTGCTCTTTAAAGAAGTATTCATCACAATTTCTTTATATTGTAAAACTCAATGCAATGATAGAGATTTTCTGTGAAATTTGTCTATAATCAAAAGCTATTTTTAAAGACACTTGTTTAATAAGAAGCAAAGATTTCCCTCTGATTTTCTGTTGGGATTTTTCTTGATACTCACTTGTCACACAGATTGGGATCTGATGACTGACTCAATTTATGTAGAATATCTACAATTCCCATGTCTCGTAGTTTATCCTGGCGTTCTTGTGAACCTACAACAACAAATCACATCCTTGGGAACACCACCAAAAAGAAATGTCAGCAGAACAGCAGGAAGGAGTGGTGGCAAAAACGAGCTTCAAGAAGGGGTATGGAGCAGAGTTCAGCTAGAACACAGCAACAGAAAAACTCCCTCAGCTGTGGCTACTTCCCAAGGGAGCTCTAGTTTCTTTTTTTTGTACATTATGTGCATATGGTTAAAGAAAATTTTGATGGCAAAAATCTGAACCCATTTTATTTTAAAGCAAAAAGCTTGAACTCAGTTGGTATATTCTCATCTCTCTGATCTGGATGCAGAGAACATTTAACTGGAGGTATTCCTGAGTCTGGCTTGTAGCACTGTACAAAGCCAGTATCATGAGGAGAAAGCCACCAGGGGCACAGCCAAGTGTCACACACTGAAGTTCTGTGATCTGAAAGGTGTGGAGTAAGTTACACACTAGTGGAAAAGAGTCCCCCCCAACCAAGTAGAGCTCTCTACACTTTCCTCAATGCCCTCCTCACCACTCTCACTCATTCCATATTATGCCTATGAAGATGTCTTCCCTTATGCTTTGGATCCCACTGTGCTGTGAACTGCAGATATTGATGACTATGCAACATTAGGCTTTTGACCAAGATTGTAACATGTATATGCATAAATGAGACATTCCTACCTTCCTCTTCATTCCATATGAGATTAGATATACAGAACATGGCAGCAAGCTGAAGTTTAGCATTTGAATGACTCTAAACACAGAAAAAAAAACAGTACTCAAGTTTAGAAGAAGAAATTCAGAAATTCTCAGACTTACATTTTGGCATCCATTCTGTAACAAATAAGGTAGCAAACCTGGGACTAATTCTTATCTACAGCTTCTCTAAAAGTTAGTGCCATAACAAAGCACTTGAGTAGTGTTCAGTTGCTTCCAAGTATTTATGGAGGTTTACAAAATAAGCCTTTTCCAAGATCATGAAATGTTCTCCATGTACATTTGTTACAGATGTTGCTTAAGCTACTGTAACATTCTTATGGGGAAATAACTGGATTTTTGTTTTAAGCATATTCTTAGTACACCTCTGCCACACAGAACTGCAATACATGATTTTGTAGAAGACAAACTGGGCATGTGAAAGTTCAGTGCATGATACTCAATAAATTACAAGACAAAATGCTGAAGTACCCTTTTATCATTCCCACAAAAAAAAAAAAAGGCAAAAAACCCCACCAAAACAAACAAAAAAACCCATAAAACCTTTAAGAGAAATTCCCCCTACCATGTAGTATTTGATTTTCTGCAGGATGTCATCATTGGTCATAATGAGTTCTTTTGCTGTCGTTCCATCTGCTATATTGGCAAGTATACATAATGTCTGAAAGAGAGAAAAAACCCTGTTATTTGGCCACAGGTCACATCCCATGATTTATAGTTCCCCTGACAGTTTTGAACTTGTGACAAACAATTTCTTTAATTAGTTTTAATATCTTCAGTCTGGAGTTTCTAGCTTGCTTACAACTAGGGCCAATGCCAAAGAATTAAATGCTGTGGCTGAACAGCCCTGGAAAAAAAACAAAACAAAATCATTGACATTTTAAAATAAAAAGCAACATTCATTAGTTAATTTAAAAGAGAAAAATTTTAAGTCTCTCAAGGAATAAGACTCAATTTTTCTATATCTTCATATAGAAAAGATTAAGTACCCTGGAAAATAAAGCAGTCAATCAGTGGCTAGAGGGAAAATAAAACAAACCCAAAATACTGTACCCATCTAGTTCTGCAGGCCAGGAAAAGGAAAGACAGAGGTCTACCTGCTGATCTAGCAGAGTAATAATTTTTTCTCAACAAGTCTAATCACAGATCTTACCTGCAGAGATAACTCTGATAACTCAGAGATAACCAGATGTGTTAATAGTTTTTTCCTGGAAATTAGAGAGGCCATCCTACAGGATAACTCTGAAGGAACTAGGACACTGTTGGCACTACATGCACATGGCATTAAGACTTGCCTAGGCAGCTCTCCTGGTCCTCAGGAGGCAATGGGGTATGCTCTACAAATTATTTCCCAAAGAGCTGTGGAAGAACTTCACCATCTTTTCTGGGCATGTAAGGTTGACTACAGGAGGACACCAGAGAATGACCAACACTTGAGTGATGCCTGTGTCTCAGTTGCACTACACTCAAGTCAGCAGTTGCAGGGATTTATTACTTCCAAGCTTCTAGCTACACACTGATGAGCCAGTCAGTGACAGAGCTAAGCCCTGTCCTGCTGGAAATATGGGCCCTTGTGTGCAGACAGGCATTATGGGATGTACAACTTAACTCTGAAATAAAAACCAGCTGCTGGCCACGTCCCATCACAGGGCAAGGAAAGTGCTCTATGTATAAAGGCCCCAAACACTAACCCAGTCCATCAGCCCTTTCCAAGAATCATTCTCCTCCAAAAAACTTCTGAGAGGCTTGGCAAGGCTAATAACCTATTGCAGTGACTGGTTAATCCTCAGCTGTTTCAGCACCATGGTATGACTAAACTTGCTATTAAGAGTCTTTTAGCATTTGTTGGGGTGGTTTTGATGTTTGTTTGATTTTTTCCTAATTTTGCCCTTAAATAGCCATTAAAGGCCTGTTTGCCATCAGCTCATTCTTCACTGAGCAGAAATTAAGACCAGTCTGGATTTAGCTGTATTTTCACACTTAATTTGCCATGCTCTTTGCTATCAATCTCCATCCTAAACCCAAGCAATCCACTGATGTCTCCCACAGCTTCTTGCTGCACCCGTTCTTCATCACCACGGGTCATGGATGAGGAAGAAAAAGGGTTCTCCAACAGACTGCCTTAGTGTCACAAGAGTTAACCAGCCAAATTCTGCCCACCTATCCTCCTATTTCACTTCAGCACCCCTGCATGCTGGCCCTCCCGGGCTGCCACCAAGCCAGAGATTATTTTTGCTACTAGCCATCATCTCCTCTTTCCTTCTTTCTTTCCTCTTGCATTTTGCATCTCTCCAGTTCTGTCAGGGCACATCCCTCTCCACTTTTTCCTGGGCTACACCAGCATGCTCTTCTCCCTGCTGGTGCCTCTCCTCCAACTGCTGCTGGCTCCTGCAGGCACCCAAGAACAGCTGAGTACCACATCTCCCAGCAGAACACTGCCAGCAAGGTGGGTGATGATGGTGTTCTTCATCACTGACTGCCCCAGTGGCTGCTGCAGGAGCAAACCACCATGACACCTCCCCCAGTGTGAAATACTGGCCTCCTTCTCTTGCCTTCCTCCTGCCGTCCCCTTCATGCCATGGAATTGCCTTAGATTTAGTTCTTCAGTTCTCACATAGTGTCCTCCTCCTTACCAAATCTACATTTAAAAACTTCAATTCAAATACATTTGTAATAATCCCTTAGAAATAAGAGCATTCTTCTAGGCACTGAAGTTATTCATCTGACCAATCTCAGTAAAACATTCACAGCACATAGTAATCCCCCACAAAAATGACATGTTGAGAAAAGTAAGCATTCTGAGCTGTTTCTTAAATATTATTTTGCCAAAACAACACGAAACAAAAGAGGGTACCTGCTCTTTGACTTCTATATTGTGCTCCCCTTCCAGAATGAGGGTCACTGCTTGCATGATTTGCTTCCCATGAGTGCTCATTATATGGTCTATGTGCTGCCAAAGCAATGGTGAGATACAATCAGCATAACTTCCCAGACAAAGAAGGGCCATTCCTACTTGAAATACTCTGAGTAGCAACACTGCACAAAGCCCTAGCTCCTAGAGAGGTCTCCCAAACCCAAGAATTTATCACAGCAGAAACACTTCATAATATTCCTTTTCATTTGAAGCCTGGGCTTGTTTGAGAGAGTGTGAAATGGGCTTTGGTGCTGGTTTCACTGTAACCTGTAGAAAAGACACTGGTTTCCTAGGTGCACAGAGGCCAGTCTGAAACTGAATCCTGCTGGACCCAAGCTCTAAGTAGGATGCTGCAGTCAGAAAGAACCACTTCTGATAACAGGGGGATATCAGTGAGACAGGGTAAGAAAACTGAGGTTTCTTATTTGGTATTTGCTACTCTTACTGGAACACTGTAACCAGGTCCACTATCCACATTTCAAAAGTCTGAGAGGGTTCAGAGAAATAAGCCACAGACATTACTCATCATCTAGGAGAAGTGTCTTAAGTTAAGAGACTTACAAATAAAAGGTCATTTGATCCCAGACTATAAACACCTATACTAGAATAAAATTGATCATTAGGAGTAACAGAAAAAGATTAAATTAGATCTACTGGATTAATTGATACCAAAAATCAAGAATGACAGCAAACAGCCACCAGAGGTTACCAGCACATGGCACACTGCACCTTTTTAAGACGTTAGGGATTCTTGTAGGACTTCTTAAAATTACTTATCATGAGGCTTCTTTCAAAAGCTGCTGGATGAGTTATTCTGGAGTGAGTTTTGGGTAGAGAATGAGAATGGTTGATTCTGGCTCTAAAACATACTACAGCAAGTAGGTGAAGCTGGGACAAAGATTCAGATGAACACCTTGTGTGATAATGAGACTCTGCCATCAATGTCAAGAGCTCAGGGTGAATTTAATGAATGACTGGTTATTAAATATCTTTCCACATTAAGACAGAGCTAATTTTCTATGAAGCTTATTGAGACTCAACGAGTACAAATATCAGAAGATTTTTTTGCAGTGACCTTTTTATGGTAGAAACACAATACGTGATAAATGCACAGTAGAGGCTTCGTGGTTTTTTTCCCCCACAAAAATGTTGGCTTGCCAAATGTTTGCTGCATGTTTTCCCTCTGTTCTTCACAGGGGATTACCCCTTTCTTTTCCTCCACCCATATCTCTTTCTCCCTGTCAAAAACAATTCAGGGGCTTACATTTTCAAACCATTTTATTTCAGTGTGTCAAACGAACGTATGCATTTTGTAAGTGCACAGTCCCACAGTCAAATTCAAAAAGTCAGTACCATCTACATAATTGGGTAAGAACAGAAATATTTCAGGTGCCCAGAAAGAGGAAACACAGGCATCCTTAAGATATGTACCTCTCCACACATGGACTCAACAGTGCAACCCTCTTATTGTTGTTCTGGACAAGTTTCACAGAAAGACTTTTAGGAAAATAATTTGACTGAAAGCTAAATGCAATGGAATTGAACATTAAATGTAACTGTCTAGCTCTGTATTTGATGATAATTACCAAGTTTCAGTGGATGTAGAGAATCCTTTCAGATGCTTTGTACATTTGTATTTGATTTGTACATTTGGTTCCAGATACTCGGATAAATCCAAAGGCCTCAGTTTTAGCAATATATTGAACATTAAACCAAAAACCAACTTGTTTTACAAAAAAAAGGATTAATTTGTATTGTCTGCATGTGTGATCAGCTTTCAGAAGGTCTGTTTGCACTCTACTTACTGGGCGAGTAGATAAAAGATTCCTGAGCAGTCCCAAAGTTTTCATCAGCACATTGACATCCGAATCGGAAAGCAACTGGAATAACTGCTCTGTGCTCAGACCTCGCAGGATGTCTGACTTGATCTTCTGTTCTGCTTGAAACGCCATGTTCTGAAAGAGACAGATTCTTTGCTTCACTTTTCACCTTAAACTTGGCCTTTCCCTCTTTTAGTAGACTATAACCTGCGAGCTTATACCCT